CGAGGCTGACACTTGTTCTGAAGGACTTGGGTCCCCTTTCTACTTAAAAGATGAAAAGGTTCCGTAGGTTTACGGGCATGCTCAGTTTGGGGAGCTCTACTAGAGTAGCCTTCCAACAGGGTGGAATCATCATTTGATCCTTCCTTTGGCTTGTGTTTATGTTGCTCAAAAAACAACACAATAGAACCTGAGGCCCATGTGGCTGTTTTAGGAGTTGGGCCTTGGGAAAAGGTTCAGTCTTAGCGTGGAGCTCTCATGAATGGGATTAGGGACTTTATAACCAAGGACTGAGGAAGTGCCCTTGCCCCATCCACCCGCTGAGACTACAGCAAACAAAAGCCTTACAGGAAGTGGACTCTTCAAAGACATTATATTTGCCAGTTTTTGATTCCTGGAATGTCTGCCTTATGATCAATGATAGATAAATGTATGCTATTGGCCAAAGACTCCATCCATGGTAAGTATTTACAGCACCCAGAGTAGATTTGGACTTTAGTGTAACACGACCACCAGGTTTGATTCCCTGGAATTTTGCAGGTTTAGTTGCAGCAAAGTTTTGCATGAGTTTCCTTTCAATGATGTTCAAGGGCAGTTTTTCTCTGTTTTTTTTTTTTAATAGGAAAAATAGTCTTGTCGAAAGTCATGGGAGGATGTTAAATAGACATAATGAGAAGGCAGCGTTAGACTGGATATAATCCATGAACCCTGTTGTATATACTATATCAGCATGGAACGAGGCCCAGATTCCACTGAAGGTAAAAATCGCAAAGGCATAGTCCTTCCAACCATATGTCACAGTGACATGTCCAGTGTATGGTTGAATTTGTGTACATGAATGCACTTCATGTGTAGCATTGGCCAAGTGGGGCTGTGCACTTATGTAGGTTTGTTTCTTTTAACTAAGCACACCATTTTTCAAACATCTCAGAGATTTTATATAATAATGACAGTGTGCCATTGGATTATAGTAACTCCTACCTGAATGATTATTAATGTGCTGTGTGCACCTAAGTCACTTGATGTGATACTTGTTAAGCCACTGGGGAGGAGAGTAAAGAGTCTGAGCCCAAAGGGAGCCCTGAGCAGTCAAAATGCTCTACATGTGTTTGTTCCTTCTTCCCACTTGTTTTCTCCACAATGAGGGACTCTCAGTGCACAGATGAAAAATGGGCAGGGATTCTGTCTTGAAAGAAGAAGAGAGCAGGCCTTGCAGAGCCAAATGCCCTCATCCAGGGAGACTGATAATAGGGATGAACTTTTCTCTGTGTGTTGATACATAGACAATGTCAAAGGAAGAATTTATTCCAAGATGAAAACCATAAAACATTGTGAATGTGGAATATCACTGTAAATCATACTGTATTAAACTTTCAGATGATAGAACTCAGTAACAACAGTAACAACTCTACAGCACACAGTAACCAGCCTCTTATAAACCTCCCCACTGTCACAATGAGTGTGCTTTTCCCTCTAGTCAACTGGGGACCATTACCCAGGGACCTGACTTATTTGACATTAAGGGGGGAGTGTATGCAAATGGATATCACCACCTGCAGACAGACCTAGATTTATGGATGCCCCTGCTCCTTAGGGAGAGCAGTGGAACCCCCAGGTCTCTGCAGTTTGCATCCACTGCTACAGTTAACCCTGAGAAAGCACCATGAACTTTGAGCTGAGGTGGGCACTTGCCCTGATGCTTTTACATGGTAACATTACAGAGAAACTGGGTGAATGTGTGAGTGTATGAGTGTGTCCACTGTTGATGAAGATCTCTTGTCTGCAGGTGTCCAATGTGAGGGGCAGTTGGTGGAGTCTGGTGGGGGCCCAAGGCGGTCTGGAGTGTCTCTGAGACTCTCCTGCAAAGGTTCTGGGTCTACATTCAGTGGCTACTATATAAACTTGCTCTGCCAGACTACATGCAAGGGACTGTAGTGGATAGGGTTATTAGAAACAAAGCCAACAGTCACACAACAGAATATGCTGCATCTGTGAAAGGCAGATTCACCGTCTCAAGAAATGATTCCCAAAGCACTGCCTACCTGCAAATGAACAGCCTGAGAGCCAAGGACTCCACCCTGTTATTATTCTATGAAAGACATAGAGAGGGGAAGTTCCTGTGAGCCCAGACACAAGCCTCCCTGCATGTAGGGCTGTAAAAACCAGGGGGCACTCAGGGCCCACAGGTTCTGCAGACACAGGGCACAAGGAGGTTAACAAAGGCTGTATTTCATCTCTGGCATGGAGCTTCCTCTTCAACTGACATTCCACATGTAGGTCCCTAAGAAAGCATTCACCACAATGAGTCTAAAGTGGTTGGTTCACCTCTATCTACATGCATTGGCAGATGCATATTATCTCTGTCTTGGAATTTTTCCCTTAAAGTGCTCTGTTGTGATGGTTGGTTTCATGTTAGTTTGTCTAGATCACAAGGTGCCCAAACATTTGGCTGATAGTTATTCATGGGTCTGTCCAAACCTATTTACAGGTGATCTTACCTTTGAAATGGCTCAGAAAAGCAGATTGTTTGCCCCAGTGAGGATGGGCACCCTTCACTCCACTAAGGTACTGACTGAAACAGTTGAGGGAAAATTAACCCTTTTGTGTTTGTGCAATAGATTTTAGAGCTAGTACAGAGGTCTTTTTCTGCTCTGGATACCCTGGTCTTCAGCCTTCAACCAGGCTGACTGACAGCAGTGCCTCTCCTGAGTCTGCTGACTGAAACCACAGCTCATGGGCTTTGAGACATCTCATAGTCTGTACTAAGATCATCAATTCTATATAAATGTGCATTCAATCATACATCAGTGAACAAACAGGGGGATCACATTAATCCATGTCATGTTAAAATTTTCAGAGCTGTTACTTACCCTTCCACATGTACTAGACCTGTGAGGTTCATTACAAACATTTGAGGCTCATGAGTACTCAGGAAAGATAACTGAGGATGGATGGAGAAGAACTGCATGCCATCAGAGCTCACTGAGACAGCTTCAGCGGACAAAGCTGACAACACAGCACAGGGTCTGGGTCCTCAGTGACTGATCTCACAAGTGATTTTTATCCAACTTGATTTTTATCCAACTTGATTTTTCTCAATAGCAAACTGAAAATTGCCTTCATGTAGAAAAGCTCATGATGAACATTTACTGAAATGATAAATATTTATTCCACTCATAAGATTGCGGTTAATATTTTCTTAGCAAGAATGCTTTTTTGATGCAGGTTCCAATGTGAACATACATTATGACACCAAGATTGACATGGAGAGTAAATATGCAGTGACTTACGTGAGGTGTTGGCACACATAACTGACACATGCTTGTTAATCCACCACTGATCCATGGTCCTAAGAAAATGGGTGCTTTTCAGGGTTCTCTGTGGGATACACTTGTGACATTACTCAGACAGAGAGAACTGAAAGAAGATATTCTTGTCTGTCCCTGGAACTAAGGGGAAACTCAGTTCCTGCTGGGCGGCTGGATTTGGAGAATTCAGAGCCCACATGGAAACATCACCTAAGCTCACCCATGACCATACCTAGACAAAACCACTTTGGAAAGGGAGCCTGAGTAATGACATTGGTGTGTGATTCCTTACCTGTGAGACCTTGATCAGTGCAGGGATGTCCATGAGGGCTGAACTGAGCACCCAGTGCAGGAGGAAATGGTGGTTCCTGCAGTGACTCTCAGAGGCAGCTGTAGGTCACTGTGCATTGAATAATTGGTGTGAATGCAGGATTGTAGGGTCTGAGTTCCAGGAATCAGAAGGTCAGAAGAGAAGATAATTATCAGGATACAATATCAATAATAGACAAAACATTGGAGTGACCCTCACAGAGAAGATCTCACTAACCTAGAAAGTCACAATCAGGCCTAGAATCCATGTGGGTACACTGCCCATGTGCTAAACACAAGGAAGAAAGGAAACCTGCAGTGCATTAACTTGAAACTGATATGGCTCCGTGTGTCTCTGTGTGTTGGTGTGCAATTTATTGAGAATTAGAAGTGCAGTGAGTTAGAGTCACATGCAGGGATCCTCAGATAGGACTTTAAGGCAGAGGGACCTGAGCACTTCAGAGGCTCCCGATGTCCCTGAGAGCTTCTGAGCTCAGTGATGTTAGCTGTGTTAGTGCATCTGGCATCAGCAGGGAAGGGTTCCTGGGTGGCTTCATAGAATATGGGCCTGGAATTCCTGAAGAATTACTGGGGTTTAATAAGGCCACTTCTCATTGCAGAGATGTTGAAGCACTTGGTGTCCTTAAGGGAACATCCTGAAGTCAGGGCACAGCCTTCATTCTGGACAGCAGACTGGACTTGAGAGGTCCATGCCCTGTGAGCCAAGACATGACCCTCCCCAAAGAACAGGCTGTGCAGCAGGGGGTGCATGGGACCCACGAGCTCAGAGCTGCTGATCCAGGAGTAGGTGCAAAGAGAGCTGTGGGCATTTCCTGTGAGGGCCTGGTTCTTCCTCTTTCCATGGAAACGCCTAAAGTAAGAGGTGGTCACAGTGACTGTAAACATCCTATTCTATCAGCATTTACCAAACTCAACAAGATATGAGGACTACAGTAACAGGGTATTTCTAAGGCTTCTTTATACATGAGTAGTAAGAAATAGAAAATAGGGGTGGCTTTATTAGCACACTAATATAGCATTTTGGAGACACACACTGATCCAGCAATAAGACATTCATGTATGAAGGCCAGGACAGGTCCAAGTGGTCTGTGGGTAATCCAAAGGTGGTTCACAATGAGGAGCATGTCCTGTGTGGGACTGTTTCTCAGTGGGAGGAGCAATGTCAGTACAGAACTTAGGGACTGGGCAGGGTACACATTGTCCCTCTGATTCCCTTTGAATATGGTCCCCGTGTCTTCTATCATCTCTCAGCTGGAGACAAATATGCAAATATAGCATAACTGCCTCAAGAATATGCAAATGAGAAAAAGTAGACTAGGTTAAATGTGGGTCTATCTGGGCCCTGGGAGCATCACCCACAGCCACACCCTCCCCTACAGAAAACCTGACAGCACAGCCCCTCACCATGGACTGGAGCTGGAGAGCCCTCTTCCTGGTGGCAGTGGCTACAGGCAAGGGGTTCCTAAGTCCCTGTGTTGAAGAGGGGAACAGGGATGGACAAGGAGGATATCCACTCATTGATGTCTCCTCTCCACAGGTGTCCACTCCCAGGTGCAGCTGGTACAGTCTGGGGCTGAGGTGAGGAAGCCTGGGGCCTCAGTGAAGATCCCCTGCAAGGCTTCTGGATACACCTTCACCAGCTATAGTATGAACTGGGTACAGCAGGCCCCAGCAGGAGCTCTTCAATATGTGGGTTGGATCAACACAGAAACTGGGAAGCCCACATATGCTCAGGGCTTCTCAGAACGCTTTGTGTTCTCCATGGACGCCTCTGTCAGCACTGCCTATATGCAGATCAATGGCCTGAAGTCTGAGGACACAGCTGTGTATTACTGTGCAAGAGACACAGTGTGACAACCCACTTCCTGAGTGTGTCAAAAACCTTGAAGGGTGGGACAGCTGGGCTGGTCTGAAAAAAGGACAGGGTGATGAGCCTGCTGACTTCCTCACACACAATCAGGAACCTGAGAGGAGGGCTGATGCTGCCAGGGGCACATCAGGAACTCAGAGAGGGTTCCAGACACCGGATACACTGAGGGGAAGAGGCAGGGGAAGATGGTCGCAAGAGACACCCTGTCATTGAGTGTGACTGTGCAGGGAACTTCAGAACCTCCCCACTCTAAAAGTTATTCATAAAGACATTTTGGGGTCTTCCCTGCCTGGTCTCAGGAAGCTGTAACCCCCTGTGACTTAGGCTGAGTGAGAGACCTCTGAACCAAGAGCAACTAAGGAGACAAAACTTATTTCCCTGCCATGAATACTGCCTGTTCTTTGCCTGTCCTCCTAAGCTTGATCAGTTAGCCAATGATGGGTAAGATTTCCCATAGGAGGAATCATCAAAGACGGGCATGATCATGTGAAGGCCTCAGGGAAGAGACTTGGGGCTGTGGAAATGAAGGAGTGATGGACATCTACCCCTGCCCCCTCGGCTTTGTCAAAGTCTGAGTCCTTGTTCTTAGATGTGAGAAATCCAAGTCTCCTGGCTGCCTTTGTCTCCTCTGCCCGACTCAGGCCTGCAGGAATAGCAGGGGCCATGCAGTCCAGACCAGAGTTGGTAGACCCCTGGGGTAATCAGGCCTGGGACATAGAATATGCAAGGTCCTGTGAGATCTGCTTGCTAGAGGATGCTATTGAATTAGAATTTGAAAGCACAGGCAGGAAATGAGACTAGCCTTTTATGTCCTGTAGTGATAAAACCCCAAACTTTGCCCAGAATCCCAGTGGGAGTTCTGTCAGCACCTTTGACAGTTACCTATTCTTTTTTATCTTTTCTGCCAGACTGTGAATCCACAAACTGAGTCTGTATTCTTAATAAAAACCTACTGAGATGGGGGCTTGAGACGCTCTCCACTAAAGGGAGTAGCCTTCCATCCCTATTTCCCCACAGGACCTGGTTGTCTCTGTGTATGTTTTTCTCGTGTTTCGACGAACATCTGCGAGGGGGTGGGTGGATACTGCTGGCTGGTACCCACCACAAAGACACCATCAGGAAATCACTGGTCTAGATCAGGTTTGGGGGTCTGGACTGTAGTGGTGCCTAGCCCATTCTATGGCATTCCCTTATTTCTGATAAATAGAACTGTACTTGGGGAAATGTAAGTGCATTGATACCAAGGATGATTTTTATGTCCTTGACTGTGGCCAAACCCCACAGAGAAGACATTTTGGAAGTAAATTTGAGGGTTGACAAATGTTCCAGGTTCCAGTACAGTCTGTGCCGTCACAGTATTCTTGCAGTCCTCCCTCAGGGTGAGATCCAAAGGAAACTCCTCACCGGATATCACTACCCTGTGAGTGTCCCTGTTTTTAAGCAGTGCTGATGTATTTCAAAAAAAAATCAGATATCAGGGGAGGGACACACTTGACAGTGGGAGATCTCCATTCAGCTTGTACTATATTCCTATGGCAACTGAATCAATTACTCTACATTTGGTTTGCAATCTATGAAGTCTGGAGGTTGGCACATGAAATCCCTTTACTGGACTAAGATCAAGGTGGTGGAAGGACCACTATTTCTCCAGAGGCTCTATGGCAATGCTGTGGTCTAAAAACAACTATTACCCCAAATTTATATGTTGAAATCCTGATCCTCAAAGAGGATCGTATTAAGAGGTGAGGTTTTGGGAGGTGCTTAGGTCATGAGAGTGCCCCAGGAAGGGGGTTAGTGCCTTTCTCAATGAGCTCAGAGAGCTGGCTCATCCTCCCACAATGTGAAGACCCAGCAAGAGTTTGTCTTATATTAACCTAAAAGAGGGTCCTCTCCAGAAGGCACCATTCTGGTGTAATCAAATGCAGGTGCATCTGTCTGTCACTTCAAATGTCAATACTCAAGATAAAGGTGTTGATGTAAAGGTGTTGATGCCCAGGGGCTGGGAAGCTGGAAGATGAGGGTCTCTCTTTGCAGAGGTCATCATAACACTTCAGTGCAGGGAGGGGAGTTCATAAAGAAGGAGAGGGACGAGGAGAATGAAAAGATCATGGGAGACTGTGGGTGTGCTGGCAGTGACCTGTTAGACCAGACATGGACCTTTAATATCAGGGTCCTGGAATTGTTTGGTGCCAGCCAATGTCCTGTAGTTCAGTGATTGGTGTCACCCTGAATCATGGTCAAGGCCATTTCTTGTACAAGCAAGACTGGGAATGCTGGTGCTTGCAATTTGCTTACAAAGAAACCGTCAGTATGAATTTTACAAGTTTTTTTAGTGCATTTGATTCTAATTCCATTTAGTGGCAAGTCACACCAGTACAAAGTTTCCATGCCCTGTTTATCACCACTGTCAACTATTTCTCCATGTCTACGCAGACAGTGATGCTGTCTGATTCTTCTGGGGAATGAAAATCCTGAGCATATTTTAATCCAAAGTCTCATTAGTCAAAAGAAGATACATCTTTAGAGGTAGCTGTTGAACATATTCTGTTTTCCTTGTATGGGGAAGACAAGTCATAAAGAGCTTCAAAAAAAAGACACTCATTAAAAGAAAAATAATGGTTACACTTAAATTTAAAAATCCTCCTAATATGGAGGTGGTTCCTTGTGGAATTCATGAAAATAGACTAATCCAATTTCCAGGATTCTCAATGAGAGGAGCGTGGTGCTTCATATTTTGTTGGCACCAGGCAGCCTGTTGCTTGATTTAGGTGATGCTTGTTTCCATCTGAACTGAGGTGAGGTGTCAATGTAAGAACAACAAAAGGGGGTTGTTGTCATGGAAACTCCTGCTTGTTCTGCTAGTATGTAGTCTAAAAAATGATTATGTAAGACAGCTCTAGCTAGAAACTTCAGAGATTTCTGAATATTAGAAAATGAGTTGTCTGTTTTAGTAGCTATAATTGTTAAAATTGTGGAGAGATTCTGAAGTACTCACTTATGTGCAGCTGGTCCCCATCAGGGTAATAGAGTGTGTCATAGAAATATTCATTGTCTGGTATTTCTCCAGGGAAATCTCAGGCCTTTTGGGTGAATGTTGATTGATCACACTGTAGTCTAATGTATGCAAACTGTTTCACTTACTTGCTTGTAGATCTCAGGAGGGAACAGGTCTCCACTGTATGCCCCTGAACAGGAAAATGGCATCTGGAGTTGGAGGGCATATTCCAATGAGACCTGAGAGAAAGCTGTTCCCTTTCAGGAGAAAACGGTTCTTCTTGCTTCGGCAACTTACAGAACAAGACCAGTTCGACCAGAAGGATGGAGCATTCATGCCAATAAAGAAAGCAGTACGATAACTGTAATCTTTGAGTTGGCATTTTAATGGTTTTAGGTATGTTCCTTACTGCATTTGTCTTGTTACCCCTATTACCAAAACTGTTTTTGTTTAGTCAGTTTGGTGGTTGATACATAGTTCATGGGTGTCAGATGTATATTTGGATCCTGTGCGGAAATAATGATGGTTTGAGATGTGTCTATAGGAGCCCCAGGCCCTCACATCTATTATACTAGTCAATTAGCCAGTTCACTACCTGCTATGTGGCACTTTTTACTCAATTGTTCTCACATGCCTGCTGCCAGACACCTGAGATTTCTGTCTTGGTAGTCATCGACACCTGACCTATCTTTTTTTCTTTCTTTTACCATTCCTGAACTTTCATTCTTGCTGTGGTTTTGTCTTATTGCCTACACTATTTCCCATTCAAGAATTTTGCCTCTGAATCCTGTTAGAAAATAATGGCACTGGATGATCCCTACAATTGCAACTGCTTCATGCTGAAGAGGGATTCCATTATCCTTTAGAGCCTAGAGTGCATTGCTCTCCATCAGAGGGGAGATGAAGCCTGGGCACGGATGAAGGTGGAGATGTTGCCTGGAGGCTGTACTCCCTGAGTAGGAGTAGGGCTTGTACCATGGAGGAGTCAAACTGTGTGACTAATCTTATTATTGGAGAAGCCAGAAAATGTAGGATCCAGATTTTTTATAAGTTAAAAAAATTGAAGTCAACTCACTGAAGTAATTTAATGTGCATAATTCTGTGGCACAGAGTCTACTGGAACATAAGTTCTCTACATAGAATCACACACATTTTAGTCAAAAATTGAAGTTAAGACAAATCCATTCACAGTATTAAGTTCAGTCTCAATAAGCTCTGATAATTTGCTTAAATGTAACAGGAATGCAAATCAATTATATAATGTTTATTAGATGTGCTCTTATAAGAAGTTGACAGAATGAGATTTAATTCACCACATGAAGCAGTGAAGTCAAGCCACATGGTTGCTATTAGGTTTTACTTGCAGGACCATTAACTTTGAGTGAGTTCCTTAAGTTCTTGAGTCTTCCAAATTGTCCTGAGCTCTCCCATGTGATCTCCCAGGAAAGCAACTCTCAATCCTTGACTGGAAAGACTACCATGAACCTACTGAATTGGCAAAATACCAGGCCCTTTCTCCAAGTAGCTTGTATTGGTTTGCATGTCATTCCACAATCCTTAAAATCTTTTGCTGACATTGAGAGTCTGGGCAGATCTCTCAGACATGCCATTTGAGTCAAATTCTTGGTTAATAAAACCATATTTGGCAAATAGCTTTAGGTGTCCTATTATCATAAATCAGACCCCTGCTTGATTTATTCAAACAAATATATTACTAAGGAAATAATAATACCCATTAATTACTGTCTAAATTCTAGAGGGATCAAATAGGAGGAAAATATAAATTTCTTGATATTTCTTTTTAAAATATAATTTACCAACATGCTTTAGGAAAAACGCAAGTCTTCTTATGTCTGCAAAACAACATGATTAAAAATTAGCAATATACTCAGCAACTGTCACAAAACTACAATAATCTTCAGTTCCTTCTGTCCCATAATCAATGTTTCCATGCTGATTATTTGCCAGTATTTCTCTAAATCCAATTAT